TAGTAGTAGTATTCAGGTTCTTGTAGGACACCCACTATTGGAATTTGTTTGATCATTCCTCATGATAAAATTAGGATTACTGTGTTTTGGGGAGGAAGCAACCACAGAGTAAAGGACCAGGACCATTGTCAGGTCACATCAGGAATATATACTAGCCATGTGACTTACAACTCGTGAAGTGAGCCTTGATCACCTGGCTGAAGTGGTGTTTTTCAGGTTTCTCCAATATAAAGTTAGTCTTTTACCCCTTTCTATACTGTACTTTTTTAGGAGGAAGTCACTATACTCAGCTCACAGCTAAGGAGTGTCCAATTATTATTTATATCAGTAAGAATTCATGGATTTTTAGCTTACACTTTGGGTTATTGTCTAGTGCTACTTGATTTACTTTGTCATTAGGTGGTTTCAGTTGTTATCATTACAAACTCTTTAAGTTGGCTCTTGTGCTTCTTTGATATGTCCCCATCCATATGGGTTTATTTTTCATAACACCTCCTTCTTTTTGATATCATAAGATGGTCTAGGTTCATTTTAGGCATTTACTGCCCCAGGCCTAGAATCACCTGCTTTTCCAAGGAGCCCTAGATCATTTTATTAGAGAAGGTATTAGACACCAAGATCTAAGTGGAAGGTGTGCTCATTAATGCTGAGGTGTCATTGCTTCTGGGTCTTCTCAGCTGACTGTGCAAAGAGATCTATATGTGTATGCCATGTATATATACATATCTATAAATATTTCTATATGCAACCATTTGTATCAGATTAAGCTAAGCCTGAATGTTTATTGATGTTTCCAACTCAGATCTATTACCAAATAGATCATTAGCCTTGTCCCTTGCGTACCTTAAAATTTCAGCTCCAACAAAACACATGATTTTTAAAAGTGTGAAAATCAAATTGTAGTAACTTTAGGAAGCCACATTATCAGACAGAATAATACTTAAAGGACAAGGTGTACATTGTCAAACTTTAATTTACAGAAATCAGTACTTTTCAGCATCGAAATACCTCTAGCTGTTTGCTTCTGACAAAATGGAGTAGCCTGTTTCTCCAGGTCCTCTTGCTTAAAACTAAAACCATGAACATAACAAACCTGCATAGGAAGACACTAAAGGTGAAAATAAGACCTTGGGACTTGAGGAATGACATGGACTACAGGAGCCTCCAATTCATAATCACCATCAGAAAAACAGAAAAAAAAGCTTCAACAAAAACCCAGTCCCCTTAGCCAAAGTATGAAGAAAGGGGTTGCTAGCAACAGAAAGCCATTTTGGCAATACATATGCTGGGATATCAGTGCAAAATACCAATGGAAAACCTGCACTTATCTCCTGTGTTCTGTGGTTTCAGTAGAACAAAAGTAAGGAATTGATCTCCCACACCACTCACTCCTGCCCTCCAGAAGCAGGCAGCACTCAGATTCTCCCACCACGGTTGCTTCAGTGTGGTCCAGTGGTCAGCTGAGCTTCAACCCATGTCCATTAGCAAAGAGACTTAAAAAGGTGGGGCCTGACGAGACTAGTTACTAATGAGCTGCCCCCATACAGTCATAGGGTCCAGTGTGAGAAATTAGCCTCCACCTCTACCTGACATCAATAATAATAGGATGTTGCAAGTTGTAAAGTAGGCACTCTACTTTCTCCTGACACCTGGTGTCAATGAGACTCAGTGGGGCACTAAATCCCACTACCCATCTTGAAGCAATAATACAGGTGTCACAATGCAGGGCTAGTTGGCAGTTCTCTTTCTTCCACCTTGGTGTCAGTGGGGCCCAGAAGGGAGCTGAGCCTCTACCTCAACCATTACCAACAGGATGGAATGAGGTAGTGTGAAGGGCAGTTAACACTTCATTTCCCTCTCCCTAAATATCAGGGTACCTACTGGGATGCTGAACCTCCAATCCTACTTACNGTGTCACAATGCAGGGCTAGTTGGCAGTTCTCTTTCTTCCACCTTGGTGTCAGTGGGGCCCAGAAGGGAGCTGAGCCTCTACCTCAACCATTACCAACAGGATGGAATGAGGTAGTGTGAAGGGCAGTTAACACTTCATTTCCCTCTCCCTAAATATCAGGGTACCTACTGGGATGCTGAACCTCCAATCCTACTTACAGGCAACAGGATAATATGAGTGGTTCCACTATTTGGGGAAAGATTTTAGCAAGACCCAGAAGAGAGCTGAACTTACATCCCATCTGTCTGAAGTAGGACAGTGTGAATAAGTGCCCACTTTTGCTGGAGTATTGTCAGCAGGGCCCAGTGGAAAGCTGTACATACACACTCCACCAACCCTCATGCCACAGCTCATGCTACAGTGTAGGGGGACTTCTTGCCAAAAGTAATAAGATGAAATAGGATTCAGAGTCATATAATACCCATAATGTTCAAAATGTAATAAAAAATTACTCATCATACCAAGAATGAGGAAATCACAAAATGAATGAGAAAAGACAGTCAATTTACACCAACACTGGAGATAAGTCAGGTGTTGGAATTACCTGACAAGAATTTTAAGTAAGCTATTACATAATTGTTTCAGTAAATAGGAAAAGTAGACTCAGGGGGTGGCGGTGGGGAAAGGACAGGTCTTAAGAACCTGTGGAAAACAACAAAAGAGCTAACATTCATATCATCAAAGTCCTGGAATGAAAAGAGAGCAAGGGGGACTGACAAAGTATTCAAAGAAATACTGACAAAAAAGTTCCTAGATTTTTGAAAGACATAAACTTCCAGATTCAAGAGCTTGAACAAACCCCAAAAAAGTAAACACAAGATAACCATACCAAGACACATCATAATTAAACTTCTGAAAAATTAAGACAAAAATAATTCCTGAAAGTAGACAGGGAGAAACAATGCATTACTTATGGAGAAACACCAATGCCAATGACAGCATATTTCTAATCTGAAACTGTAGAACTAGAAGCATTGGCATAATATTTTTCGAGTACTAAAGAAATGAAATGGCAACCACAAATACACAAATTGTATTCACTTTCAGTTAAAATCCTTGAATGGAATGCCATCTCCCTTAGGATAAAATCTAATTTAGTCTGTTTGGGCTACTATAACAAAATACTATAGGCTGAATGGCTTATGACAACAGAAATTTATTTCTTACACTCCTGGAGGCTAGAAATCCAAGATCAGGATGTCAGGATGGTTGGACAAGGGCCTTCTGTGTCACAGACTTACTGTTTCCTCCCCTTGCAGGAGGGACTAGGGAGCTCTGTAGGGCCTCTTTGATGAAAGCACTAATCCCATTCATAGAAGTCCAACATCATAACCTAATCACCGCTCAAAGGCCTGACCTAATACTATCACCTTTGGGGAGTAGGATTTAAACATACAGATTTTGGGGCAGGGGATAAACATTCAGACCATAGCACTTACTATATATACATGAACCATTCATGAGCTGGCTTCTACCACCTTCTCCAGTGTCTTCTTTTCTTAACACTCTGATGAGCCCACTTTATACTAACTGTATATGGACCTCCTTTCTGGTATAATCCTTAACCATTCTTATTCTTGTCATGGATTTCTTTTCTATTTGCCTCAAAAAGTCACCCCTCCTTGATGTTACTTATCCATCTCAAGTTTTGCCTTCTACAGGAAGCCCTGCTGATATTCCATGTAGATAGTCCACTGCTGTGTCTTCCTATAACACTCTGTAATAATTTGTATTGTAATTATGGATTCGCTATCTGACTGTCCCAATAGACTGAATTCTAGATGGTAAGATAATGTTTTTAATAATGGTAACACTGATGCCTAGCTTAACGCATGGCATACTTTAGGTGGGTTGGAAGATGAATGCTTCAGATTTCTCACCTATTATGGGGATAACCAAAGGCAAGTTCTATAAAGTCACACAGAACTCTCCTGAAGGACAGACAAAAGTTCCTCATAGGAGTAATCTGTTCAGTAACAAACCTCTGTTGGCTTCCTTCCATGTTTCCATTCTCAGTTCCCACTCCACTTGAATTTCCTGCGACCACCTCAGATAAACAGTTTGAATTCAAATTCTAGTCTCAGGTTCTGCTTCTAGGGGAACTCAACCTAATACAATCCCAGTTTATAGTCACCTAATAATTCGATGATCCTTACAGAGCCATCACTAGTACAAATACCAAAGCATGGCACCTTATGGGTCACTCTCCTAGACCCTAATTTTCTAAACTGATAGGAAAGAGCATGACCTTGAAGTGAAAAATAATTTACATGAGAATGGACAATGGATAAAGAGAAGAGAGAGAGAGAGAGAGAATGCGATTTGTTTTCCATTAATAATGGTGTGGGATTTATGGGCAGATAGTCTGTTATAGGTGTGACTATAATTTGAGGAGACTGTTCCCTTAGTTACCAGACAACTGCTATTTTGGGAGCACAGCCTTGGGACTTCATTTGCTGTAGCCTTTCCCTTTACCCTGTCATTCTAAAATCACTAACAGTCAAGAGTTTTTCTTCCCATCACCCCGTCACTGAAAGAGACATGTGCATGTGCGCGCACACACACACACACACATGCTTTGTGTGACAGTGCTTGCAAAAAGTTCATGGTGCATGTATGCAATGGATATTGTATGTTAAAAGTCTCTGTGAAATATCCATCTGCGAGTTCCTATGTTTACTTTTTGAATAATTAAGCTTAGTCAAATTAATAATTTCTTGAAGTTCTAGGTGAAGACTGAAAGAGGATGTAAATTTTAAAGAAAAAGACAAAAAACTTGCCTTTTATGCCCTTACTTTGTGTCTTAAAGAACAAAGGATAATTGGGCTTTTTTTTTTAAGTCTTTGCTTGGCTGAAAGGCCCATACTGTAACTTGTACTTTTGTCATAATGTGTTCACTTTGTGAGTATTCAAACTTATATATTGTGAATTTTCCTTGAATTGTTTTTCTGTTAAGAAGAGTATGCTTGAATATTTACTTAAAACTTAAAAAATGAGATCTATATATATGTACAAATAATTTCCTTCTCTCTTGCTATCTCCATTTCAGTTTCCTGAGTTTCTGGAAAGGCCTGGTTTTCCCAAAGGAGCAACTTCTCTGAAGAAGTCTGAGGTCTGATCCAAGAAAAAAAAAGATTCCATTATAGCCAATTAATTAAGGACAGAAGGTTTCCAATCAGGTAGGAAAACTTATTTTTACACATTCAACTACCTTAAAGTGTGCTGATAGCTGGATATGATATGACTACTTGGAAAAAGATGAATATATTGCCTACTCTATAAGGAAGCTGTTCACAATTCCCTTGGAGGTTGTGGTGTTTATCAGGAGTACCTTGGAGGAAAACAAATACAATAACAGTTTGATGTTTTTTTTTTCCATTTTTAGCTCACTGTTACCAAGTACACTTAGTGATCTTGATGCTTGTGATTTAATCCCAGGAGATTAGCAGGTGGAACAGCAGATTAACCCTTTTTGTATTATCTCCTAAAACAGATCATTTTCATAGGTTTTCTCCATGATCTAGTTGCTTACCAAAATTAAGGGTCATGATACCAAATCTTCTAAGTGAGGAACAGCCCCAGTTAGGTGTGTTCTGGTGTGAGCAAATCAGCTTGGTTCTTGCTGGGGCACATCTAGGCTTGATCTTGACACAGAAAGTGCACAAAAGGAGTTAGAAGAGAGGAAAATAGGAAAATGGGGGCAAATAATATCTTTTCATTTACTCTTGCATGTCAAGATCCACTAACAATTGTACTTTCATTACAATTTGAGGACAAAACTTAGGGCAAAGGGAATAATGAAGGTGTCCCATTGTATGTCAAGATAAAAGACAGTGGTGACATCAAAATCAGGGCCTATCACTCTCACTCACAGTTATATATACTCAGCATTTACCACAACACTTGACCGTAATCAGTATGCAATATGAAGACACATGGTGAATGACTTATGGATAAAAGAATGAAAAATGAAGTTGATATGATAGAAAATTTGTTTAACCCTTGTATTTCCATGTGTCTTCACTTCTGTATTCTCAGGACCAGCACTGTAACTGACATATGAAATGCAAGCAATATTTTGTTAACAGAATGAGTCCCCATGATCAGTATAGACCCCCATATTTGCTGGGGTCTTTGGTAGAAGTATCTATGAGATGAAAGCCTGGATCTCAGACTACTGATGCTGACAGAATTTATCTAAGTTTTAATCAATTACATATCATCTCATTACATTTAACCATAGTACCTACATACTATTAAATGACTTGAATATGGATAAAAAATCCCCTGATAAGCTTCCATGCCATATTATTTGCAAAAGATTTTTGGAGCATTTTTGTGATAAAGGGCAAAATCAGAATCACTAGCTGCTAAAATTGCCATTTGCACTTATCCACAGGTAAGGAGTAGAGCAATAGAACTGCAGCAACTGTTTCTCTGTAATCTGCTGTTGCTATTTTCTGCATTCCAAGGAAAACAAAAAGCCATTTAACTGAAGGAAGAAATGTAAAATTTAGCATAATGCTGTGTCCACAAAAGCAACACACACACACACACACACACACACACACATATGCATACACACTCTCAGATACAAAGATATGAAATAATAATCTAAATAGCACCTTGGAACCCACTGCAAAATAAGAGGAAATCCACTCACACTTGATTGTTTTATTCTTTTTATTAATGTGTGATATTCAGATGTACTTATTAATAAAATTCTGAGTTGCTAGATGAGGAAATAGCACCATTTTTGTCTTTGTATATATTTATCAATAATGGATGACATTGCCTCCCCTGCTCCTTCGTTTTCCTGTATTCTCTCACAGGCAGGAGGTGCAGTTATCAGTTGTTTTTAAAATTTCTAGGTGGCAAAAGCACTCATATCACTTAAAGATGACAAGTTATACCAAAGTAAGAGGCTTCATTATGGAACATAAAGTCCTCATACGAAGGAGGAAATTTCATAGCTTAAAAGTTTCAACTTAACAAAAGATATATATGAGTAAATTTGTATGTTGTTTGAAAGTGGACTCTCTTCTCTATAATTAATGCCTAGGGTTTATCTTTAGTATCCAGGGGATTTTGATTTTTAAAATATTATATATAATAATTGATATATATGACAAAATATGCCCAAATTTAAGTAAATTATAAAATACAATAATCAACTCTTGCAAACATGTCACCCAAACTAAGAACTACAATCAAAACTTCTGAATTTTCTCTTTGTGCTTTACCCTGATTCCACTCTCCTTCTTTCATCAAAAAAATAACTCTGATTTTGGCTTTATGGTTAACATTCACCTAATTTTTCTGCAATTTTTTACTATATATGTGATTTTTATTGAGTTTAATGAAATTGATACCATACTTCATGAGGTCTTCTGTACTTGCTTTTTTTCACTCAACATTATGTTTCTAAGGTTTATGCATTTTGATTTGACCAGTGCTTATTCATTTTCACTACTATATAATATTTCATTGTGTAAATATAAGAAAATGCATTTTTTATTATCTTATTCATGCTATTTGGGTTGTTTTGGACCTAGTATGAATAGTAATTCCATGAACATTTATTTTAATGTTCCCTTGTATATATGTGCAAGATTTACTTTAGCATATGTAACTAAGAGTAGAATGGCTGAATCATAGGGAATTCAAATATTCAATTTCAAAAGATAATGCCAACATGTTTCTAAGTTTAAGGACTCAGTTGCAGTCTGTTTTCTCTACAGCCTCACCAGTGAGAATGACCAGTCTAGTCAGTATAAGAATTCATTTGGTTTCTGAATTAGTCTGCTAGGATTGCCCTAACAAAGTACCACAAACTGGGTGACTTACAAAACAGAAATTTGTCTTCTCACAGTTCTGGAATCTAAAAATCCAAGATCAAGTAATTTAACACAGGAGCATGTTCCTTTCTTGAACAATTTAATCCAAAAGCCATTAGATGAAGTTAAGTAAAGCCTTGTCAGTATGAGGACAGTGGGCATGCAGGGAACCACCATGGCTTGGTATTGGGTCTCAGAGTCTGAGAACAGGGAGGAGGATATCTGCACAAGGGAGCCTAGTATGGAGTGTTGAAGTCTGCTAGGCATGAGCAGGGCAGCCACATGAGCAAGTGGCACAGTAGTTGTAACTCATTACTGACAATTACAATATGTACTAGGTGGAGACAATGTGTGTGTTAGGAGGGTGGCAGCTACAAGAATCTGCATAAATACAGGGAGATTTATCAAAAAAGTAAAGATATTAAGGATATGGTAATCAGTGCTTCCCAATGTCTGGGAAGTTAAAATATGAAGAAGGCAAAAATTAGAATGAACTC